AACAATTATGTCAGCGGCCAGAAGGCCCCTTCCTTAGCCAGCCAAGGCCGCCCCGCCAACTCAGAGTGCTCATACATAGCTACAGCAGAATAGGAATGTCGGGAATTACACAACCACCTGACGCCCACGAGAGAACGAGGTAACACTATGATAGCAGCACTAGGCGATGTATGTCAGCAGCGATTCCAGGCAGCATAGTCGCACAGCTGGCCACGGCTGTAGCCGCCGAAGGAGAAGTTCACCTTGCTGCAACTACACCTTCCTTGTACTAGCCGGTCGCCAAGTCATTCGTAACACTCGAAGTGGAGGCGGGGCAACAGCCGGGAGACAAGGTACCGGCCACAGTGGTAGCCCCCGAACCAGGCAACCAGCAAGGCCAACAAGACACAACAACACCACTCCGAAAGCACAGCAGAACGGTCCCAATCGTTCCTAGGTATCTTTAATGTAACTTGTAGCAGGACTAGGCACTCTGTCAGTCAGCAACAGGTGGCTGGTGACACGGACCTGGGACAGTCGTGCAGTAGCTGCCACGGTCTCACTTTCCTTCTACAGCAATCCAACGGTCGACCCCTGGTCACTTATCCCCCTCCCCGTACCACCAATGATACCCAACCACCGCTTGGTAATGGTAGCAGCAGTACCGAGTAGAGGGATTCACCATGTCTTGAAAAGAAGGCAGCAGAAACCACCCTGTTAACAGTGGTGGCAGCCCTTGATGCAGCAGCCCGTATCCTCAGCTGTTAGCAGTTATTAGCTGCCCCTCTTCATGGCATCGTAGTAGCAGTGGCTGATGGTATAGTGGTAGCACCTGCAATGGTACAGGAGGCCCGGTTAGTCTCATAGTGCACATGAGATCTAGTCCATGACAACTCAGCGCCCAACAGCATCCGTGGCAACCTGACTGGGAGTTAACCACGGTAGTTTGCTGCCCGCGGGGTTCAGCTGTGGCAATATTCACGGCACGCCGAAGTGCCCAACTACAACACACGAGAGCACAACACCAGTGCTCAGTCACGTAGGAACAACTCTGGGTACGCCGCAACCTCTGCAACTGGGATCCCTGGCCAATAGTAGCCTCAAGCCCTCAACACCGTAGTACTGAACTCGTCTTTTACCCAGCCAGATAATGCCACTTTTTTTTTTTTTTTTTTTAATTAGGAAAAAGAAATCGGAGTAGGGGGAGGGGAACCGTGGGGACTCATCCCTCGGCCCCACCTTATGGGCCCGCGTTCGAAACTTCCCGCAAAACAAAGGGGGATAATCCCTCGGAACCCTCCACACCTCGTTTAACTCTGTAGCACTCCTCCGCTCCTCTGCTGCAGCGTTCCAGCCTCGATCCTGGGATCTTCGAGTTGAAAGTCCAATGCTGTAACCAATAGGGCTAAGCCCAAGTCTGGTTACAGCAGGCGCGAAACTGCATATCAATAGTACCTGCAGGTCGCCCGGGCCTGCCAAATTGCACCAAGGCCGCTGCTTGGCTTATTGCTCAAGCCCAAGCCCTGCAATGTCACGCTTTCGCTGCTTGGGGCTGGCTCTTTGCCGACACATCGCATACGCAGCCCGCGAGGCCGCGGCCAACAGGTAAGCTCCCTCACACTACCTTCTTCCTTGAAAAAGGCCGCTCTTTTGCCGTCTCTAAGCCGGGAAAAAAAAAAACAGCCTTTACTCATGTCCTCTCTGCTAAATCTCATTGGCAATTCCGACGCCGTCAACCTTTGTGCCCTGCATACCCCACGCGGTGCAGCCCCCCCCCAAAAAAAAAATGCCGGCTTTTCAGTAAGTCAATGAGAATCCCCCTCTAGCCGTAGCTTCAACGATTAACTTTTGCGCTGGTCGCGACTCCGTCAACGCGCCCGAGGTTGCAACCTACGCAAACTTTATCCAAACTCTGACTTTTTCCCGGCCTACACTGCCGACCGGTTCGTTTGTTCACACTAGTCAAGCATCTAACTAACGCGTGCCCGCAAAGTGCACACCCACACACACACCCTCTGACTCATCCAAGCGTGCCCCCGCCACTTCCTGACTTCCAAGAGTCAGTCGTGGTCGAGCCCCTAAGGCACGTCACTCTCTCAAATATCATCAAGGGTGTCCTTCCTGCGAGGTGCAAAAAACACGCACAATTACCCTTGTAAGGGTAATGGTGCCAACAGTCTTTCCGGACCCTATTAAGCGACGTCCCTGTCGCGTCGGTCAACCCAAAAGCTACAAACAATTCAAATCACATTTGCTGACAAGGAATTTGACCAATCCGATTAGCCGGTTTGACTTCGTTCGAGACATTCTATCAATCTACCCCCGTCACGGTGTTCCACTTCCAGGGTTTCAACCTGGGTCTCCCACGTCCTGGCCTCGGACTCTGGGGATACTTTGTTCCGTACTATAGCGTAATGCTCACTCCCAGGTAGTAGCTTGATAGTTCTCTCCCTTTGCCTTAGACATCTGCCGGTTCACCGTTGGGTGTCATGTTTAGTCATCGTCCTGCAAGCAGGGTCATAACTTAGGACGCGGGCCCTAACCGAGACCTCTCTCAAATATGGGGCACCTATAGTCCCCAAAATGGTAGTTAGTACCATCTCAAGTACCCACTCATAATGAGCGCCCAACCTGGAGTCTAACACAGGTGGCTTCTAGGTCTCCATCCTGGCCCACCATAGTCTGGTTGATCGAGCAACGGCCTACCGCGTTGTTATATTAGCGGCAATGCCCTCGTTGGTTGCGCAACGATAAGCAGTTTTATCTATCTTGGCACCTCGAAGGGTCCCGACTCTTGACCTAATCGACCCCAATGACTTTCCCTCTAGCTAAACCTCTCTGGGTGGCCGACCCTTCAAGACTTAACTGTTGGTAAGCCATGGTTCCGCTGCCAGGTTGCGTCGGTCAGCGGCCCTCGCTGGGAGTTAGGTCCTACAGTTCCAGCGATGCTAAGTATAGCCCCTTAGCCTGGCCTCACAAAATATGTCCCTTAGACTGACTTCATTGTGGTCTGGCATTCTCTCTCAAAAACTTTCATCATAACCAAAGGATCACGTACCAGCTGCCCACGGGACTACGTGGAGGGATAGTGTCTTTCTTAATATTCCAACAAAACACTCATTAAGCCCACAAGGTCGTGCTTCTCTTGCTTTGATCAGGGCAGGTGAGGTCACACGTCTTAGAGACATCTCTCAAATGTTTTCGAGAGCTCCATCATAATTGCCAGAAATTTCCATCCATTATTCCCACAAAAGTTTTGGTCTTTCCTCGTCAGACTTACATACATAAAATTTTATCATCGTTATAGCATCTCATTCGAGTGCTTTCTCATAATATCAAAATCAGGATCTCACACCACTCTGAACGAGAAAGAATCATAAACTAACACCAAAAACACTATCTAAGAACACTCCACACCACACTGAAAAATGTGAAAGTAAAAATGAGAAAATCAGCGCCACACTCAATACCATCCTATGTACAACTAAGCCTGAAAGTCAATATGCGAAAGTAAACACCTCAGTAATGACTCAACTAACTGATGTACATGGGCGTGATCCAATCCTCCATGTGTCCTCCTATATACAATCATCTATCAGTAGTGAGTCAGAGATGCTTTATACTTGTCAGAATCTAGAGGTTTCCGGACCCTATGAAAGAACCCTATCCCTGATCACTTATGTCCTCCTCCAGCTGCCTATACAACTGCGACCGTATCCCATCACGAGTCTTTAGGATCAGGTTCCCATACTTATCCCTACGTACCCCAGAAGGATTCCAAGAAAACAAGCCATTCGCCTCATCCTTGAGGCTTTTGGGACAGGTCTCCTGTGGGTGTTTGCCCTTCTTGCAATAGAAGCACCTTCCAAACTTATTCTGCTCCATCTTGTCAGCTCTTTGGGAGGGCACAGACGAGGGGACTGTTGTAGCCTCCCTAGTGACCTCCTGCTGTGGATGCTCTGGAGGAATGGGGCATGCTGCTCTGTCAGCTGTCTGCGCCATCTGCTCATTCACTCGCTCCTCTAGCCCAGATCCAGTGGCCCAAGATCCCAATGCATCCTCCAGACCTTCGACCAGAGACATATCCTAAGGTGGTGGGGTCTTCTGAGAAACCTCCGGATCTCCTCCCACCTCAGCCTCAACCCTGGCATGTCCCACGCTCTCCTGAGCCTCCTGCTGTCTCACAGTCTCTCACTGAATCGTAGGTGGTGCCGCCTCATCTATGTTGGCCTCTGTTGGTGGCCTTTCCCTTGGCCTCATTAGTCCCTGCTCGTGTGTCAAGATGGTGGGCATCCTCCACTCAAACTCTCCTGCCTCTAAATCCCTTCCTGCTAGTGTCTCTTGTGACTCCAACATCTTCTTATCCAGCAGGGGGATTTCCTCACCCCTTTGCTCATTTGCCCTCTCTTCCACCTTCTGACTCTTGAAGGCCTCCTCTGCAGGCTGCTTCCTGATTTCAAACCCCTGGACCTCTGTCTAGTACAGCACTGCAGTAGGTGTCTGCTGTGCACACTTGGCCTCAAGGTCCATGATTCTCTTTTCCCACTTCGCCTCCTTTACTTGAAACGTGTTCTGCTGTACCTGCAAGTAGGTCCTCAGATTGTCATTGACCTTATTAAGGGTCTGGTTGACCTGCATGATGGCCTCATTCCCTGACCAAACCTTCTCCACCTCAATCTTTATGGCTTCCATCTCATTGTCCTGCCTCTCCAACTCCTTCTTGAGGTCATCAATTTCTTTCTGTCAGTCCATTCTCTGCTCATGAAACGTCCGTGCTACCCTTGTCAACCTCTTCTCCATCTTTTCATAAGAAGTCTTGGCCGCCGCAAAGCCCTCTTTCATAAGGCCCTTCAAGCTAAGCAAGTATGTAGAGACCAGCTTAACCCCCATCTCCTGATGCTGTTCCTTGGGCCTCCCTGCTGCCTCCAACAGCTTATCAAAGTTGTCCCAAGCTTCCGTGAAAAGAGGAGTCTCATCGTCTTGAGTAGGTGAGCCATTCCTCTTTCTGTCTTCTAGTATCACAGGCTTCTCTCCCTGCTCAACCTTTTCGTGCAGCTCCGCAATGTTCTTGAGTCTGATTTGGACTCTGATCTCTCTCTCTACGACTGCTCTCTCCTTTCTGTCTTGTTCCTTCTCCCTTGCAGCCTGTTCCTCACTTTGCTTTTGTCCATGTGGCTCTTGAGGTAGTTCTGGCCCTTTGTCTGCCATAGGGCAGTCTTGAGCAGGCTGAGGGGGCGCATCTGAACCACCTGATGGTCCTCCCCTCTGGGTCCTTTCTGCATCCTGCCTCTCTGTCTGCTGTGTCCAGTCAACATGTTGTTCCTCTCTCCTTTGAACCCTCTCAGCATGTTGCTCCTCTCCTCTCTCCTGCCTGTGGGACCTATGCTCTCTCCTCTGTCCATCCCTCTGAGTGCTTGAGGTCATGCCCGGCTCAAAAGTCCTCCTCTYTGTGACCTCTGGCTCCTTCCTCTTCTTCTCCATACTCCTTCTCTCCTCTGCCTGGCGTGTGGGAGTATAGTAGCTCCTCAGTAACCGCCTGCAATCTCCCCAATGCAACGCTCTTTCCACAATGCTCCTGACGAACATCCTGATAGGCCTCCTCACGAACTGGAGGAACCCTCTCACTTTGGTCTCAGGTGCAATGTTTTGCTCGTCTGCAAGCCGGTCATAAGCCCATAAGAACTCATCCAGGTTCGTTCCATCGAACCGGATTGGCACTCCATCTCTCCCCTCAGGCGATGGATGTATCCCTTCCATCTTCCTTTCGAACTCTTGCCAGGTCGCTGACTCCCGTACATATCTGGCAATGGCCTCAGCTCACTCACCCTCTCCTCGTACCTCTCTCAGCATCCTGGCTCCATCCCATCTGAACTTGTTGGCATGCTTCTCGAACTCGACCAAAAACAACTCCACGTTCCCTCCTCTGAAGATGGGTGGCCTGTCCTCTTTCCTGGTCCATCCCTGCATTCTCTGTCTATCTATCCCCTGAGGGAGTTCCACTGGCCCTGCCCCTCCCTTCCCTCTTGGCATGGCTTCGTCAAATGGTGTCAAGCCTGCACAACAAGGAAGAGACAAGCCAAAGCACACAGAGTGTAAGCAGGTTCGACACACAGTGAGAGACAGACACATCCCCCCCCATCTAACCTAGACGCCTATACAGGCATACACATACATACATACACATACATACGTACTATCATAACCCATCATATCATTCTAATGAACGTCCATACAATCTTTCTTTACTGATACCCCCATCAGAAAGACATACTTAATAAGAAAAAGGGACTCTAGCTTGTAAGGTCCACACTCACCTCGTCTCGAGCGACAAACTTCTTCAACCTCGAGCCTGACACCCAGTCCTTCCAAGCGATGAAGGACTCCGATGAACCCTTGGAAATTGGACAAGAGATGGTTGGGACCATATAGGGTCGCAAGGTGTGGAAAACATGACGCATACCAATGAACCCTCTTATTCACAGAGGCATCGCTAGTAGATCCCGATGAACGACCGCTCCGACCTCACGTATATATCTAGGGTGAAGCGGTTCCCTAGGTCTTAGCGAAGACCACTCCTGGCATGGTATGCAAGATTTACAATATTTGTCGATCATGTGTCCCATGCCATCCCAATAATATAGTTTGTGAATCTTTAAGTATGTTGCATCTGTGCTCTTATGGCCGCCATCCGTTCCATCATGAAGGGCGGCCATAACGTCAATCTGTCGATTTATTCCGCAGACTACCCTTCTGGGATTATTTCCTTTACTTCTCATGAGTAGATGATCGTCTCTCACTAGGAAATTCGGTCGCATCTTAAGGACTCTTTCGCTAACATCTTTTTCTCTTGTTTGACATGACAGGAGCATTCTCAATTTCAGATATGCTCCGTCGTACTCCTCTGTACGAAAGGCCTCTTTTATCTCACCTTCTTCAAAATCATCGTCCTCTCCTTCATGGATCACGTTCTCCTCTCTATCTTGCTCGTCTCCTTCAATCCTAGCAACCTCTTCTTGAAGCAACGAGTTTGCCAACAGGTACATTCCACCTGCCAACCGTTCATGCTTTTCTACCTGATGGGGTCCGGTCTCTAATGTGACCAAGTCTTCCCGCAGCTGGTACTTATCTGCCAAGGCCAACTCCATCATCCACTCCACTCCTAGCATTCCCCAAGAATTTTCCTCAACATAAGGTTTGAGGATTATATCAGGCCGCCGCACATGACCTAGAGGTGCGAGCCATATAGGTCGTCCAGGAGTAACATAGTTACCTATAGCCAATGACCAGGACTTAATGAGGAGTTTAACATCCTCTTCCTTGTCCAGGAAACCGTCGACCGGCGGAGTATCCTCAATTACCCCTTTGTTGTTATTGTCCCAGTCGACGCAACTTAACCCATCTGCCCTATTCTTGTTCCCAGGAATACGCTCCAATTCGAAGTCAAACATCCAGATGTACGTCAACCACCTGGCAATGGTTGGATCTGATGGAGCGAAGTTCTTAAGAGAACCAGCTAGAGCAGTTGGGTCCACCCTCAACGTAAACCTGCTACCAAAGAGGTAGTTTCTGAAGATCCTCAAGCAGTGAAGAACTGCCAAGGTCTCGCGCTTAAACTGAGAGTAATTCCTCTCAGTTGTGTTAAGCATTCGACTCTCAAACCTTAGCGGCCGTTCTTCTCCGTTGAGGTCTCGTTGGATCAGTACCCCTCCCACGGCAATCGGCCCTGCGTCCGTTTCTACGATAAAAGGTCTGGTCATCACAGCCGCATGGTCTGGTACCCCCAGTACTAGACCCCCTTCCTCAAATTCTTTCTTCAGACCCTCTATTACTGAGTCCTGCTTGTCTCCCCATTCCCAATCCTGACCTTGGCGCACAAGCTTTCGCAACTGCTCTGTCTTTGCCGCAAACCCTTTGATGAACACTCTCCAAAACCCACATGTCCCGTACACGGACTCCCATAGGTCGACTGGGACTGATCCTTCGCCCATGTATCGCTTCTCGTTACCACAACTTGAGCCTATTGACCGTATCGCGCTTTGGGTCTCGCCGCCTGACCCATAACTTTTAGTGCGAGGATCGGCGAGTGCTGCTCGCATGAACTTAGTATAAGATCGTCCGGACGTGGTACCCACACGTACCAATCCACTATGCACCTCTACGTGAGTATTTGCGAGGACGGCGCATTATGTGGTGCTCATACCCAACTGGCCTATTCCGAGCCATGCGGTTGCGTTCGACGCTCAGGCGTTGGCTGAAGCGCGCGCTAAGGGGAGGTAACCCCTTCGCGAGCGCAAAACAGGTTTGAGGGTCTTCCAGTCTTCTGCACCCTGAGGTGTCCCAAATGGTGCGGGGTGAGACGGCCCCTAGGGCAGGAAGGAATTTGAAGCGGTGGTGAGTTGTCTGGCGCATCGCCAGCAACACGCTAACCCTTCCGCCCGGAACTTTATCGTTCCACCATAGTAAATTTCAACAAGGAAAAACAACACAAATGTTCTTACGTCATCTGCAAAGACATCGTCGGGATTAGCCCTATGGGGGTTACCCGAACGTACGCTTACTTGGATTATCACCTCAGCTGAACGAGGGTAAAACAATCTCACTCAACACAAAGGTTRTGGGGTAGTTCGCTCTCACGACAGCCGTGTGGTTTTCCCATCTGAACTCAAAACATAATCATTTATCACATATTGAATCGAGTCTCTCTCATACATACCTGCAAACATTCGATATTCAAACAATATCACACGCACTAAAGGAGTCAACTTTTCAGCCTCCTGCAACTCACACCCTACCTTACGCACACAAGCCCAAACATTCCCCCTCAACAAATATACTCAGTCCTTAAGAAATGACCATTTATAAAGAAACTGGGTGAAAACCCAAAGAAGCACACAAAACCTGGCAAGGGCCAAGGCCTTAGGTTGAGAGGCAGGAAAGATAGGAAAGTTGAGTCGTAGACCGACGAATCGGCAACCGACCTGTTATCAGTGATAACAGACAAGTGATCCCTTCGTAGAATCAGGCCAAACAATTCGAGCCTTCAATCGGATGTGAAAACCTGCATCACAATATAGGTCAAAGAGAACCACTACTATGTTCAACCCAAGTGGAGGGTAGTTCCCCAATTCGTACCCTAGTTCCTCTCTCCGTCTCACGTTCAGCTTCCCTCACTAACGCCAAGTCACTGAAAAAAATTGACAGCATCTCCCCCATCCAGGGTGGATTTGTCAAGTCTCTCTTAACTAAAATATCATCTAACTTTCTAAATTCTGTGAAATTTCGGCAGTGCTTCCCGTAGGAAAAGTGCCTTTCCAGAATTTCTACGAGTCCAAAAACGATTAACTCTTTCAGATTTGTAGAAATTTCGGCAGCGCTTCCCGTAGGAACAAGAGGTTGCCAGGATGTATACAGAGCTGTAACTGAAAAGACAAGGCATAACTATACTTGGGACTCACTTCTGATACGTACTTGGAAGATAGAATCAGCGATAATCTGTACGACCTCTTTGATGAGGTTGTGCAATAACACTGATCCTAACTCGTAGTAGATTCAGTCTTATCTTATCCCAAGCTTTCCTTCTCATCATCCATCCTACCTGCCTATAGCTCTAGCACTCAGCGAGCATCTAAAGCAACTAGCCTATCAATGAGATGCCCCAAGTGTGAGCCCACGAGCAGGCATAACCAAACATCTCTCTCAATCCCACATTAATTTAAGCCAAGTAGTTCGTTAGATCACTCAGTTCTTCCCCTTTTAAGTCCCCCTCCCCTATGGTATATGGTCAGACAAGACCCTAACCCTAGGGTATGCCTGACCTGCCTAGGTACACAAGTAAGGTACGTACATTTGGACTGTCCTAACCCTAGGGTATGTCGAACATAACATGAACTGTGCACATAAGGCATATGACCAGACCGCCCTAACCTTAGGGTACGTCTCGCTTCTACCTAACTGACGGCAAAAAGCATAGAACTGGGCTGCCCTAACCCTAGGGTGTGCCCAACCTGCTTTAAACAAAGTTACATACGACATCATTATAGACCATCCCTACCCAGGGGTAGGTCTAACTTGCCTGAACATAAGTACAAACGACAAAAAAAGTCGGTCCGCCCTAACCATAGGGTACGTCCAACCCACAGCACATCAATGACAAAGGCATATCACTAGGTCACCCTTACCCTAGGGTACGCCTAGTTAGCCATACAGTTTAAGTTACATAAGGCAATGTGATCAGGCTTCCCTAACCCTAGGGTGTGCCTGATCTGCCCGAACAATTATAAACACCGAAACGCTGGACCTCCCTAACCCTAGGGTATGTCCAACTTACATTAAACGACAAAAGTTTATCGCTAGGCCGCCCTAACCCTAGGGTACGCCTAGTTAGCCATACAATATAAAATAGGGTACAAATACTTTCACAGACTTTATGTTTTTCCTTCTCTTATTAAGCAGTCGATCGGACATTTCCAATAATGGAACTTCCGATCCTGCCTCATGTTTAGAAGGGAAAATAAAACAGATTTAGACTAACTCTCTGCTCCTTAGTGTTATCATAAGCATATAACTGAACCGCCCTAACCCTAGGGTACGTTCAGTCTGCCGAGTTACCTTTATTTTACTCTTCATGTCTTTCCCTCTTCCTTAGTTCTACCTGACTTACTGACTGGCTTTCCCCACCCGGGGCGCCCGGTCTGTCAGAAGTATAAGTTCGATAAAATATATATATCAAAATTTATACTTTTGGTTAGCCAGTTAATTCGTGGCTCATGACTAAGCCGCCCTAAGCCTAGGGTACGCTTAGTCTTATGCCGTTACTCCCTCAGAACAAAACACACACCTCAACTCATTAAAATAAACATCAGGATTGTAAGCCTTCCCCACCCGGGGTGCCCGTCCTCCTGTTCAGAAACCCTCAAATAAAACATCTACCGATTTTATCCCGCCCGGGTAGACCAGCCATAAGAGTCACTCACTCAGATCAACAAACCTCAATAAAACATAGCACTGAGCCCACATCCACCCGGAGGGGCTCAGCCTTGGGTTAACCCGGTCAAACGCATGCATAACATCTTCCTCCCGCCTTCCCTCAATTCATTCTGTCTGAATCCGCTCAAAGTATCTGACTTTTCATATATATAAGTGTTTATTTACCCTTTCGCAGAGCATGTCCTGACATACATAACAAAAGTAAGAAGTAACAACCTCACATAGTTGTGTTCAAGTAGCCCAAAGATAAAGGTTAGGGGAAGGGATCACACAGGTTAACGAAGATATACCTGAAGTTCCCTGCCTCCAGAACCCCGYCTGGGCTCCGGCAGAGCTCCCGCAATCGGTGGGGCAACCTCCCACAGAGGCCTTGGCAYGGACCTACGGGTTGCAATCCCGCCTGCAGCCTTCCTCTCRGCACCAATAGACTAGACTGAGACTGAGAAGGGCAGAAAGAGAATAAGTCAGACTCTCAAATGGGCGCTCTAAGACTCGCGTGAGAGGGCCTTGAAGCCTTGACTCGCCTGAGGGCCCCGCAATGATGGACAGACAGTGCAGTAGCACCCTTCATCCTGCCGCTAAGTGTAGATTACCAATCTCAAACGGTACCCCCGCCAACCCCCTCAAGTCGCAGCCATAGTCCTCGTTGCCAAACCCGGTCTCACTCCTCACGGTTACCACCCTCCCTTCTCTCACTGTGCCCCCTTTCACCAGCCCAAGTTGTTGCTGCTTCTAGTAAGGCACGGCGTTTCCGCACGGCAACAGCACACCAAACAGCGCCCAGTACCGCGATAGCACCCCGCCTGAGCAGATCTCAGCAGCAGTCCGGACTGCTGCAGTGGCCGTCGCGTACTAAGTAAGACGAACGGCCTGCCATAGTCGCAGTCTGGACCTAGCCCACAGTGGCCAGTAGAATACAGCAGCTTGGATTAGCCGGCCCTCAGCAGCCAGCCCCCAGCAAAATTCCTCAGTGGGGAGCAGCACCCAGCCCGTGCAGCACCCCGCAGTCAACACAGCTCGAGTAGCCACAAGGCGCAGAGTATGGCAACGAGCATTGGGCACCGTAATTAGTACAGTTACTCAGCAGCAGACACTGAGTGTACTGTAAAGCGTCACCCGCCATGCAGCCACAGGCCCGCCAAACTCAGCAGCTGCCCTGCACCCTGAAACAACGTACAGCGATACCACAACAGAAGGTGCAGCGAAACTCGCAATTGAATACACAGCAAGCCTGTAGTAATTCCAGTTTAGGCCGCCGTGGTAGGGGACGGCTACTATAGATAGCACAACAACTCCTGTGGTTACATTTAAACAGTARCTCTACAGCTCCTACAACAACCCAGTAGTTGTAGTAAAACGCAGGTGGCTGTCGAAGTGGCAAGGTCTACCAGCAGCGGTTTCCTAGAAAGACTACAGCACTCCCTTACGAGCCTGCAGCAGCCCGAGTGGGCCTAGAGCTTTCAGCAACACCCACCTAAGTATCGGTAACAGGCGTCTTGTCTCCAATCGGCAGCAACTAACTAAGWACTAACTGTTCGAAATCCACGGGTTGGTCCGAAAATAGGCAAAATTTACTTAGTAGYCGCAGCGACAACAATTATGTCAGCGGCCAGAAGGCCCCTTCCTTAGCCAGCCAAGGCCGCCCCGCCAACTCAGAGTGCTCATACATAGCTACAGCAGAATAGGANAACAATTATGTCAGCGGCCAGAAGGCCCCTTCCTTAGCCAGCCAAGGCCGCCCCGCCAACTCAGAGTGCTCATACATAGCTACAGCAGAATAGGAGTGTCGGCAATTACACAACCACCTGACGCCCACGAGAGAACGGGGTAACACTATGATAGCGGCACTAGGCGATGTATATCCGCAGCAATTCCAGGCAGCATAGTCGCACAGCTGGCCACGGCTGTAGCCGCCGAAGGAGAAGTTCACCTTGCTGCAACTACACCTTCCTTGTACTAGCCGATCGCCAAGTCATCAGTAACACTCGAAGTGGAGGCGGGGCAACAGCCGGGAGACAAGGTACCGGCC